ATGCTTATCATGCTGGTTTTACTCACTGTATGGCTTCGAGTACTCTCTTATGATCTAGCACCTTGATATTCACAAGGGTTTACTGAGATGCAGAATCTATTACAAAGTTGCCCTTTTGGGCATCCAGCTTTCCTGTCACGTAAACACTATGTGTACTTGCCATTTTACACTTAGCTGTTGGGACTTTCACAATGGGTCTTGGTGGGCGTCCCTCAGCACCAACCACTACTGGTTTCCCGAAGCTGACTTATTGGTAGTATTCTTCTTACACTGACTCCTCATATGTCTTTGCTCTCCACAGTTCCAACAACCTTTCTGGGTAGCAGCCTTTCCTTCCGTGGCATCTTCCCTGTGTTGAAATTTCCAGCATTGATCTCTCTTGTGCCCTGGTTTGTTACAATGCCAGAAAAAGTCCATCAAACCTCTCTGAAAGCTGACCTTTTCTGGCCTTGAATCAAGATGACTGAACCAACCTTGATACCTCTGTGCTGGATGTAACATAGGATTCGAATTCAAGAGCTCTGGCCATTGCATCTTGCATAGTAGAGGGGTGTGCTTGCTTTACTTGTATCTTCAGTTGTGGACCATCCAAGGTATCTACAAACTGATCCCTCAGCAACAGCTTCAGGACATCGGGTGGTGCAGTTGAGTAGGCCTTTTGTGCCATGCTTTCCAAATTCTGTGCCAGCTCATACAGGCTTTCCCCTTTAGCACGGACTCTCGTCCTAAACCTAGCCCTGTAGACTTCGGACTGATTTTGAGTTCCATACCCGAGTTCTAGAGCAGTTACCAGTGTTTTATAGTTGTGCATGTCTTCTGCTGACAACTGTCCAAGTATTTCCAGTGGTTGTCTCTTCAAGCTCGTTGCCAGATATACTACTTTCTGCACCTTTTTCCATCCATTCATCTCTGCCAGGATCTCAAATTGTGCTCTATATGCTTCCCACGGTGCCTTCTCATCGAATTCCTGTGGCTTCCTTCGTACTAGATCACCCCTATTGCTGACATTCATATCTTGGATGTGACTTCTAACAGGACTGAAGATGTCTGCATTAGGGACTAGCTGCGGGGTTTGGAAGGGTTTCCCGTTGCCTGAGGCTGATTAGGTCAATGGCTAATATATCGTCCTTGTGTAAAATACAGTAAATCATCCTTTAATGTATTTAATTCACTTTGAAATTTAGTAATGCTTTCCATTTGTGTACTCTGGCCTTCTCTCAACTGTTGGAGACTTTCATCTTGTTTATTTTCTTTCTCTTCCAACCACTGCTGTAGTCTCTCTTATTGTTCATTTTCTTTCTCCTCCAACCACTGCTGTAGTCTCTCTTCTTGTTTCTTTTCTCGTTGTTCTTGTATCTTTTCTTTTTCCTCCAACAACTGATGTAATCTCTCATCTTGTCTATTTTCTCGTTCTTTTTGTTTCTTTTCTTTTTCCTCCAACAGCTGCTGTAATTATTTTCTTGTTTCTTTTCTTTATCCTCCAACAGCTGCTGTAATCTTCTTGTTTCTTTTGCTGTTCTTGTATTGCTGCCATCAAATCTGCTAAGCTGTAGTTTGATTTGGCACTTCTGGGTTCCATCTGTTTTTTTCAATCCCACTCTCTGATACCAATTTGTTAGGTCTCTAGTCGTTTGTTAATTTTCCGTAAAAATTCTTTCCGAAGAAACTTTAGCGATACACGTCCTTTCTTAAATAAAACTAGTTTATTTTTGCCTGGATACAACTTTGCAATACACTTAATTTCCACAGTCACTTTAAACACACGCTATAATTCTCAATGATTGACGCACTTACTTACGTTCACTACCGCGCTTGACTCAATTGCCCATCTCTATCTGTGCCTGCCTGTAATTCAGTTCTGATCATTCTGTCTCACGTTATCTGGCGCACTTATATACAGGAATAGAGGGCGCCTAGCACTTACTGGATGATTCATGATGTTCCCTGATCCTTCTAGAATATCATGACGTGTTACCAGCGTCACGTGACTACCGCTGTCGTAACAATATTTATCATTAACATACATGAACATTATAGAACTTATTTTCTAGTGTCATCATTATGTTAGCAGGTATCTCAATTAAAAAACGAAATTAATACATAGAAAATATAGCTTACAGCAACAGAATATGTTAAAATATTTCAAACACACTACATTTGCCATACCAGAACTCATCAGGCTGGCTGTAACACAAAAGACAGAGTAGTGGTTGAGGTGCTCTTTATATCATACACTTTCATAAACAATGATGTGAACTATAGAATAAGTAAGTGAATTGTAATATTTTTGGGTAAGTTTTAATAACACATAATTATTTATTTATTTGTTATTATTTTATTTGAAATGATTTTGTATTCATTCAGAAAACTGGGGAACCAGCAGTGTAGCTTTCTTGTTAGATTTAGTTCTTTGATGTAATCAACTAGTGTTAAGTAATATATGTGAAAGGCAGGCTTTTTGCTTTAAAATATCTTTTTTTCTCTGATGACCCTGTGTCCTAATGCAATGCACTTGATGTATGAAATAAACAATACTAACCACTGAAAAGATTACTTATGTCTTCTGTTTTGAAGGTTTTCCCCATCGAATGCGTTTCAAAGCATTTAGTAATCGTTACCGACTGCTGGCACCCTTTAAGAAGCTGCACCGTAATGAAGAAAAGATTGTGGAAGATTGCTTGGTAGGTCCACAGTAAAATGATTAGTTTAATCTTGTGGCTTGTTTTTTTCCTTCATAAATATATTTCTTTGTTTCGTGTATATTTTTAAACTTGTAATACTAGTGATATAGTGTCATTAAATGCTAGTTTATTAATGAATTAATTGTTTGGTATCATTAGAGTGGTTAGTCATCTTTCTAGAAGCATACAGTTGTATAGAAACAACAATGTCATCAGCCATCTGTCTAGAAGTATACAGTTGTAAAGCAACAACAATGTCATCAGTCCTGAACTGGCCATCTGGCAACTCTGGCAAATGCTAGGGGCAAGTTCCTTCAACAGTTGGTGAGCTAATCCTAATTGAAAGATGTTCACATAATCCAATATAGGATCTTTTCCTTTGGTTTTTGTATAATGTCTTTGTAGATTCATGAAATAAAAGAAGAATTCAAATTACTCACTACTTTGCAAAAACTCACATAAAATAAAATAATGAAATAAGGCACAAACAGAGTAGCCTTTGCTCACAGCAGTTTTTATTAAAACAGATTACTAGTAGTGGCTCCTATCTAATTCTTGTCTAATTATGGTATAACATAGTAGGTCAGGTCAGCAAATGATGGGAAATTATTTATGCAAACCAAGACACCAAAACTTTAACTAATTAGTACACAATCACAAATTCACAGACATAGATAATTGTTAGTGTATTGGGCTGTGGATTTGAGGTTCTCAGGTTTGTAGCTCCTTACCATAAAAACAATTTTGCTCTGCACTGTGGATACATAGGTGCACTATTTGATTAGAGTAGCTGGTGCATACTGTGGATCCATAGGTGCACTATTTGATTAGAGTAACTGGTGCCTACTGTGGATCCATTGGTGCACTATTTGATTAGAGTAGCTGGTGTATACTGTGGATCCATAGATGCACTATTCGATTAGAGTAGCTGGTGCACACAGTGGATCCATAGGTGACTGGAAAATGCAGACAGTCATGCCGAAATATTGGCATTTCAAGAGGTGTCACACATCTGATAACATTGCAGCTCAATATGATGAAATAATAAACCTTTTAAACATCAACAACAAGGTTTTCTGCTTGCCTGGATTTGAACGGGCTTGGAAAAATCAGTGGGGAAAGAAGACCCTGTTGGTGATAGCTCATCTACAGACAGTGCTTCGAAAACCTAATGTGAGAGATGGCAATAGCTCATCTACAGATAGTGATTCAAAACCTAGTGTGAGAGAAGGTGATAAATCATCTACAGATAGTGATTCAAAAACCTAGTGTGAGAGATGGCAATAGCTCATCTACAGATAGTGATTCAAAACCTAGTGTGAGAGAAGGTGATAAATCATCTACAGATAGTGATTCAAAAACCTAGTGTGAGAGATGGTGATAGCTCATCTACAGATAGTGACTCAGAAATCTAGTGTGAAAGATGGTGATAGCTCATCTACAGATAGTGACTCAGAAATCTAGTGTGAAAGATGGTGATAGCTCATTTACAGATAGTGATTCAAAAACCTAGTGTGAGAGATGGTGATAGCTCATCTACAGATAGTGACTCAGAAACCTAGTGTGAGAGATGGTGATAAATCATCTACAGATAGTGATCCAAAAACCTAGTGTGAGAGATGGTGATAGCCCATCTACAGATAACGATTCAAAAACCTAGTGTGAGAGATAGTGATAGGTCAACACTTACCTGGATGGTCCTTGCATTCTTAAAGAAAGGAATCATCTAGATTATTGGAAGATCGATGGGAAAATATTTCCACCCTATCTCTACTAATCAAATGCTACCAGCATGTTCCAGCATCCTCTGCCTAGCCCCCCCCCCGAGCATTTGTTTAGCATTGGAGTCAAAATCCTCTGACCTGATTGCTGCTGCCTCACTTACAAAACATTTGAGAGACTGATGTTTATAAAGAACAATAGACAGTTATAATATATAGAAGTCTCCCTTAAAAATATTTTTGTTCTAAAACTTTGTTATTGCATTTTGAAAAACAAAATTATTCAAAATGTTTTTATTTGTTCACATTTTGTTTCAGTTTCTAAAAGTTTGATTCATAAAATATTAAAAGTATTTAAGTATTAAAATATTACTTATCTTCTGCTGTTTTATCATTATTGAATATTACCTGACAAAGTATTAATGAATGCATTGCTATGCATTCGTATTTCTCCTGTTCTCATATTTGTATCTATAAAAATGAGAAGTATTCATATTTGTATTCGATTACTGATCTCCAGTATTTGCTCCATCACTGTGGTTAAGATACGGCACTGAAAACAGGTTCTGCTTTAAACGATATCCTCACTGTCACATTAGCAAGGATTCGAGACAACCGGAGATCGAGCCTGATGTGCACCAGAGATGAAAGTTTATAATAAATCATTCCTTAAGTACGAGACAGTTGATACAATTCAAACTTTCCATATAATTTATATTCTCTGACACAGACTTAATAATTCGTGTTTTTTTAAATCAAATTAAATGTTAAAATTGAGCCCCTCTAGACACATTACAAACATGCATTGGTTAAATACAATGTTTTTTATTCACACATTTTAAAGCAAGTACGATGACTTTGGTATCAATAAGGTGGGAAATGCGACGACTTTGGTATCAATCTGATGGGAAATGTGACATCATTGATATCAATCTGACGGGAAATGTGACGACTTTGGTATCATTTTTTTGAAAATGTTACGAATGTGGCACAAGTGTGCCAGAAAATGTGACAACATTGGTATCATTTTGGCGGGAAATGTGACAACACTGGTATTATTGTAGTAGAAGACATTTGAAAACATTGGTATTATCGTAGTGGGAGACAACATTGCTATTATTCTAGTAGGAGACAACATTGGTATTATTGTAATGGGAAATATCTTGTATCATTGGTATTGTTGTTGTGGGAGGAATTTATAATTCTTATTATAATTGTAATGGTAGGTATGTGATAACAATGGCATTATTGTAATGGAAGGCTTTTCAGTATTGTTACGACAGTGGAAGTCACGTGACGCTGGTAACACGTCATGAGTTTCTAGAACGATCATGACTTTTCCTGACAACTCTAGTCTTTTCTAGGCGCCCTCTATTTTACTATGTAAGGCCGGCAAATAAAGCGGAGATAATAATTTCAGATAGATAAAGAGGTATAGAGACAGATAACTGAGTCAAGCGAGCGGTAGTGACCGCAAGTAAAGTGCGTGAATCGATGTGGATTATAGTGTGTGTTTAAGTTAAAGTGACTGTGGAAATTCT